GAGAGGCCCCCTTCCCAGCTTCAGGTCCTGGAGTGCCCGCCGGCTTTCCTGCCCCACCCTGCACCTAGGACCCTGTGGGTAGCGCTAACCTCGGGCTCAGTCATCTGGGGTCGCAGAGTTGGGGTTGACTTGATGGCATATGACTGACCAAACGATTGGGGGGTGACTGCCCTGCGGGGCCACTGGAGGAAGGCCTGGCACTGGCTTCAGTTGAGATTGCTGCTCAGAAAACGCTCGGGGCAGTTCCACTCTGACACATGCGGGGTGCCATGAGGTGGAGACAGGTGACTAAGGCTGCGCCTCGTCACCCCAGGCTGTGGCTTGCCCCTCATGGCCTCTGGGACCCCGTTCATGGACTGCTGATGTTTTAAAATAACTTGGGGCCCACACGGGGCGTCAGGCCTGCTTCCCCAGGTTGGCACGGTCACAGCTTTGTGACATCTGAGGAAGGACATAGAAAAGGACCCGCCACCATGTTATTACTTACAAAACACGCCTCCTTGGAGCCGCACAAGTGGGAAGGATCCCATCTCAGACGAGAGGCCAGGCCTTCAAACGCATCAACTGAGCTTCCCAGACAACCTCGCAAGGCTGTGCCAATTCCTCGTGTCTCTGGAGGCAGTGCTGCCGGTCCCCAGGAGGGCACAGGTGTATGGGGCCACGGAGCCTGGCCCTGTGGGTGTGCTCAGTGGCCGAGGGGATGGCTCCCAGGGTGCTGCCCCCACCCACTGAGGGTGTAGTGGCTGACCAGAGACAGAGCTCGGCCTGGACTCCCTGCACATGGTGCCGCCACCGGGTCCCGGGACGGAGGCAGCTCAGATGCCCAGGGAGGGGCGCACGGCCGCGGTGAATCACACTGGGTCCTGGATCTGCGGCAGCGGAACGCACGGGGGGTGGGGCGGCGCCTTTCGCCACGCCGAGGTCTCTCCCAGCCCTGAGCCGGGGCGGCTGGGCCCTCAGAGCCCAGTGCAGGGACAAGCAGAATGGAGGCACACCCAGCCAGGCTGCGTGTCTGCTCTGGCCCAGCCGCTGTGGGCCCTGCGGCCTGTGCTTCCTGCCGATGGTCACCACTGCTGGTCTGCTCTACCGGTGGGGATCTCCGTTGCTATGGAAACAGCAGCATCAGTGCTGAGAGTGGTGTTCTGCACCCCAGAAGGCAAACCCCAGGATGGGTGGGCGGTCTCCCCGGTCATCGTCACCTCGTCTCACCACGCCTCCTACGTGTGTCCTCTGTCCGTGTCCTCGCGTCCGTGTCCTCGGCAGGCTTGTCCCGGCTCAGGCCCTCTCTTCCCAGCCCCCTCCATTCTCGCCTTCTCTTGTCTCTCTGGCCGGTAGCAGTAGCCACAAAGGTTGCTTATTCTTGAATCATGCATGGGGGCGGGGCTGAATCCTGCACAAGCCGTGGTCCATGGGGACTTGGGGGCCAAGCTCACACCCCAGCTACTGCTGCCCCATCAGTAGCCCCTCTGTGGGTCTGAGGTCCGTGGGCCAGTTCTGCGGCCCAGTGGTCTGCATGGGGCCAGAACCAGGGCGGCCATGAGGGGTGGGGGACCAGGAGAGGGCTGCTCTGAGGCCAAGCAGGGGTCTTCA